ATGGGGAAACCTCTTCTCAACCCCACCCATATCACTTGCAGTACTTGCAAAGGTCCCAAATAATATTGGGACCTAGGGTGCTACAGGTCAGCCACATTTGGATTGATTATCTAAGGGAAATTGAGGCCAGATTTGATGCAAAAATAAATAGATTTGGGGCCATTCAGGTGGAGAGCCAGATAGAGAAGATGGAAGTTTTCTAAAATGCACCCAAAGGGGAGCCAGAAGGCATGGATAATGCTATTCCTGAGGGTAAGGAAGAGAGGAATGTCCTAAGCCTATAGTCCACGGCATCCCCAGGCCCATGAAGGACTGGATGATGAAGATACAAGCCATTCAGGGGCCAGCACTGTACTCAACGTGGGCCAGAGCTAGTAGCCCAAGGAGGCTCAGTGCCTTGTACCAGGGCTTTCAAGTGAAGCTAAAAGATAAAAACCAAGCTCAAAATTGAAGGCTCCAAGGAAAAGGATTGGAAATGCGGTGTGTACCTTTACCCCCAAGAGTACCCAAAATTCATGTTACTGTTTATATTGACCGAGAAGAATCACTTACCAATTGCCAGTGTTGAGTGGAGGACCAAGTGAGTGGTGGGTCAGGGCATGGATCTGTTGTGGGTGGAGTGAATAAATAGTGTCCTGATATGGCTCAGATCCTAAGGAGAAGCACAGGTACCAGTGGAGCCTCTCTGAGCCACAGCACCAATGTAAGGGTTTTGCAGTGAAAGGATCCTGGAGATTGGAGGGTCGAGGAATGTCGAAAAGCTCACACCATCAAACAGACCTTATGCAAGAGATTTGGGGGTGAGTGTTTTGGGATATTTGTCTTACTATGTAAAGATGTGTTTTATTTGTTTAACTATGTAAAGATATGTTTTATTTGTTTATGTTGTGGAAGATTTGTTTAACTATGTAAAGGTGAGTTGTTGTTTTCCCTTGCCTGCCTAAGGTACCTGATTGGTCTAATAAAAAGCTGAATGGCCAATAGCAAGGGAGGAGGTATGGGAGGCACTGCCAGGGGAAGAAAAGGAGTCAATAGGGAGATGACAGGGGCCAGCCATCCAGAAATGAAGGAATCAGGAAAGTAGGACCTACAGAATGAAAGAAAGGTAAAAAGCCCCAAGGCAAAACATAGATGAATAGAAATAGGTTAAATAAGTTAAAAGAGTTAGTGGGACAAACCTAAGCTAAGGCCAAGCTTTCATAATTAATAATAAGTCTCCATGTCTTCATTTGTGAGCTGGTTGATGGCCTAAAGAAAATTCCAACTACAAGGGGGTGGCGAAAGGCTGCTTCTCGTGGGGATATGAGAGAGAGAGAGAGAGAGAGAGAGAGAGAGAGAGAGAGAGAGAACAGGCCATGATGAGGGGGTGTGGAACATGTGAGAGAACACTCAATGGTGTTGATGTGTCACATTGACCTTTAGTAATGACGACTGAAGGTGGACTGGGGATGGGGAACACCTTGTTCTGGAATGCGGGCTGTTCTAATGCTGAAAATGGAGGAGGATCCACTGATGTGGACATTAATGATTATTGACTGATGTTGCCTTTCAAGAACCTGGGAAAGGAAAAAGACTATTAGCTACTCTTCTGCTTCTGTGAAGATGCCATGATCAAAAGCAACTTTAGGAAGAGAGGGTTTATTTTAGCTTATGGTTCCAGAGGGATGGAGTCAGTCATGGTTGGGAAGGGATGGCATGGTGGCAGGAGAGGAAGCCAGCCAATTACATTTTTGCCAAACATAAGAAGCAGAGAGAATATAAAGTGGCTATAACCCTTCAAAGCCTGGCCTCAGTGATGTACTTCCTCCACCAAGGCATTATCTCCTGAAGGTCCATAAGCTCCCTAAACAGTGACACCCATGGAGAACCGAGCGTTCAAATACACCAGCCTATGGGAACATTTCTACCATAGTATCACTGTTTGTTGGCTTATTTATTTAGGACAGACTCTTACTGTGTAGCCCTAGCTGGCCTGAAACTCATTATGTAGACCAGGCTAGTTTCAAACACACAAAGATTCACCTTCCGGTGATGTGGGAGGTAATGTATGCTGTAAATATTGTTTTATTTCCATTGGCTAATAAAGAAGCTGCTTTTGGCTAATGGTTTAACAGAGTAAAGCCAAGCTGAAAGAGATATAGAAAGTAGGCAGAGTCAGGGAGATGCCATGTAGCTGTCATCGGAGACAGACATGCTGAAACTTTGCCAGTAGGCCTTGACCTTGTGATGATGCACAGATTAATGGAGATGGGTTAGTTTAGGATATAAGAGCAAGCTAGAAAAATGCTTAAGCTATTGGCCAAACAATATTACAAATAGTATAGTTTCTGAGTGATTATTTAGCATCTGGGCAACTGGGAACAAGCAAGCAGCCTTCCCCAATATGCCTCTACCTTTCTAGAACCAAAGGCATGAATCACTATGCTTGACCTGACAGGATTATTTTAAATTATATGTTTATTCTCCTCTGTCTAAAGATTATTTGAGCCAATTTCTAGTATGGCTGCAAAAGGAATAAAAATGTAGAATGGTCAGGGAATCTTAAAGGATGACCGTGAGGATGGACCATGGGAATGTAGTAGAGCCTGTGTTAATCCCACAGATGAGAGGGGAAAAACCACCGACTCAAGGCATCATGGCCAAAATTAATTCTTAAAGCAAGCTTTTTATTCGTGTACACAGGCTGCCTCCTGCTAAGGTAGGGTTTTTGAGGTCAGCCTTGGATGTGAGTCCTCAAAAAACAGAAATAAAAAGAAAAAGCCATGGCTGCTTCTCGATATGGTGGAGGAGAAAGTTTATTGTAGGTATGTGAGAGCACAGTCGGAGGCAAAGATTTATGGGAGAGTCTGGAGTGAGCGTGACCAGATTACCAGATGGAGTTGGGTCATGCGGGGAGGGGCAGCACAGCCCCTGGGCTCAGAGGCCAGTGCAGAGGGAGGGGTATGCTGCAATCCATTCCCTATAATGGGTAGGGACTGAGGGATGCTGGGAGAACCTGGTGGTCAGGTCCACTTTGATATGTTAAATAGGCACCAAGCCTTTGTTCTGGGTTTGAAACATAACAGGTTGTGGCAGGGCATAGCCCAATCACTAAAAAACAGAGGTTTAATCACACACATGAATAAACCTGGTTTGTCTTTACAATAAGTTGGAGGCAGGTTGGTTCTTCCCATGTAGTCAGTACTCAAACAATAAGAAGCTATTACTAGCTAGACAGCTAGATCTACCACAAACGAAGGACACGTTCAACAAGATGAAACGGCAGCCTACAGAATGGGAAAAGATCTTCACCAACCCCACATCGGACAGAGGGCTGATCCCCAAAATATACAAAGAACTCAAGAAATTGGTTATCAAAAGAACAAATAACCCGATAAAAAATGGAGTACAGACCTAAACAGAAAACTCTTAACAGAGGAATCTAAAATGGCTGAAAGACACTTAAGGAAATGATCAACATCCTTAATCAGCAGAGAAATGCAAATTGAAACAACTCTGAGATATCATCTTACACCTGATAAGAATAGCCAAGACCAAAAACACTGATAACAGCTTATGCTGGCGAGGATATGGGGTAAAGGGAACACAGCTGCATTGTGGGTGGGAATGCAAGCTGGTACAGCCCTTTTGGATATCTGTATGGAGATGTCTCAGAAATTTTTCTTCCTTCCTTCCTTCCTTCCTTCCTTCCTTCCTTCCTTCCTTCCTTTCCTCCTTCCTTCCTCTTATTTTTGGCGTTTGCAGTATTCTCTAGGACAGAGTTAGAGATCTGCGAGGCTCTCCCTTTCATTCTGCTTCTTGCTGTTCAGAGCTGTGGGATTAGGGATCCAGCCTCACGCTCTCATCTGCCACCACAGACGGTCCGTGGTGTGTGATCACGACTGAGGACTTGAATTTGCTCTGAAAACAGTTTCTCTTGCAATGAAGTGAGCAGAGATGTCATTGTTCACAGAGGGTGACTAAGTCTGAGTCAGCCAAGCGTCTCCTACCCCTGCATGGTAATAGTTCTGCTTTTTTGTTTTCTAAACCCTCCCAACCACGCCGTGACAGGAGAACAGAAATGTATGTGGGCTCTAAATGTGTGGCATTCTGTGTTTCTTGGTTAATATTTCATGACTATGCTTTAAATATGCCTCAAATGTGTTGTCAGTTGAAGGTTCAAAACACTCAAAGAAGCTATTCTAGCTGGGTAGATTTTAACAGGGAGTGATAGTGTTCATTTAGTAGCCCAGAATTCAGGAGACTGAGGCAAGAGCATTACCAAGAATTCAAGGCCAATCCAGGCTACACAGGAAGGTTGTGTCACATTAAAAAAACAAATTGGGGGTGGGTGGGTGGGTGAAAGATGACCTAGTTGTTAGTCAACTAAGAACCACACACATTCCCGAACCAGGTGCTTTCCCATCCCCCACCCTACCTGCAATGACTCAGCATCAATGGGCACCATTACTACCTGCCAATGGGACACACTTCTACCAACGTTGCCACTATTGCCTTGCCCGGTTTTCCCTATGCACATGCTCCACACCCCTTCTCTCAATAAAGTCTGCCATCCCCACCTTGTCTGCTGCTGTCTTCATGCCTGCTCAGAGGCAGCCATTTTGCACCCTTACCCCCAATAAATCTCTTGCATCAGGTCTGTTGCGTGGTGTGAGTTTTATGGCATTCCTTGGCCACAGTTGCCAAGATAGTTTTTCATCAAAAAGCTCTTTCATTAGTGGTTAAGATTACAATCTCCTCTTCTAGAGGACTGCAGCTCAGTTCCTAGTACCCACATGAGACAGCTCCTAACCACCCACAATCCCAACTCCAGAGTATCTGATACCCTCTTCTTTACTCTGAGAGCATCTACACTCATACATGTGTGTACCCATCCTCCTCCACATAAACACGTCATTAAAATAAAATAAATATTTACAAAATAAATAAATAAGAGGTTGGAGAGATGGTGTTAATCCCAAAGATTCAAGGAGAAAAATTGCCGGTCCAAAGCATCAAGGTCAAATTATTAAAGCAAGCTTTTTTTATTCATGTACATGGACTGTCTCTCCCTAAGGTAGGGCTCAAGAGGTCAGTATTGGACATGAGGGAGATAAGGATTTTGTAACTGAAGAGTAGGGGTTTTCAAATGTGGGATTTGACAAATAGGTGGGGTTCTAGAAGCAGAACATAGCAAAGTAGTCATAACAACAAGGTAACAATAACAACAGGTGTTTATAATAAGCTTTTGAAACAAAGGTAGGGTTGCAAGATGGTCATAACAACTTTTTAAAACAAAGACTTGGTTGCTGTTTTTCAAAGACTGAGGCAGAATGGTTCATCAATGTTCCAGTAGATGGGAGCACTGTTGTTCTTCCAGAGGACTTCAGTTAAATTTTCAGCACCTACATAGTGACTTCTAACTTCCGTAACTCCAGTCTCAGGGGATCCCAAACACTCTTCTAGCATCCATGGGCACCATGCATGTACAGGATCATAAAAATATATGCAGAAAAGTATTTTAAAAATAAATAAGATGAAAAAGATGGAAGAAATGACATCATTCCTTTAGTAATATCATGTTAATTCAAAACCTAAATACATATTGGAATAATGATAAACATTATAAATACTGTTGACAATTTTATTCACCCCCACTGGCAAGGTGACACATACTTGTACTCCCAACACTTGGAAGGTGAAGGCAGAAGAATCAGAAATACAAGGGTATCTTCAGTTACTTAGGAAGTTTGAGGCACACTGTGTTTCTCCTACATTGTCCTCAGCCAGGTTTGATACAGTCTCTCCTGTTGGTATACAATATAGGTATACAAACCTAGAATTTGTAGGTTGTGTAACTGAGAGTTAAGTAAGTGATACATGGGTATTAAATTTATAGAGAACTAAGAGAATAGCAAAGTTATAGTGTTTGAAGAGGCCTCTTGCCTTAGAAATAGGTAGCTAAGTGTGAGATAGAGATTTTTGGCATCTTGCTCCTGGGGGAAGGGAGAGAAGCAGGAAGGTGAAAGGGAGATGCTGAACTCAGCCAAGTAAAACTAGATGTGGGGGAGTGGGGCACAGGTGGGATAGCTTAAGAGACGGGGGTGTGGTATTGCTAAGATCTGAAAGAGGGTTTTCTATGCTGACAAGAATGGCAGCCCCCATAGGTAAGGGGCATTTTCTCTGGCACTTTGTCCAGCACAGACAACCCACAGCTATAGCAGCTCACCGGTGAAATCAATGGTATTAGCTTTAAATTGGCCAAGTGGCGTTGGGAAGACTAAAATCTCTGCCTGGGGCTTAAGCAGTATAAGTGTACAGTATTAGAGTCTAAGACTTCCAAAAGCTGTCGTCCTCCCCCAACTGATGTCAGCCTTGCCACATGTAAAGAAGGAAAAACACACGACACCATCATTCCTTAGTCTGTAAAACTTTGTTTCTATAGATTTCTTGATTCAGTCACACAAGGACGCTTTCAGAACATTGAACCCTGAAGGCAAATGTGCTCCAAGACTTGAAGGCAGTCAGAGGAAGGATATATGACCACATGATGACATCCCAGCTAGGAACAGATCACATCCATGATGGTGGTCCCTTAAGGTTATGTCATATAAGATACTCTGGTTGTCTTGGTTTGTTCATTACACTATGATGTTTTCATAATGAAGGAACCTCCTAACATCTTTGACTATGTTTTATTGTTAAGACATGTATGAACAAAAAAGATGTATGAAAATACTTTTCTCATGGTCAGTTATAAATGTGCTTTACTTAAGCAATTGATGTTGAAGGACCCCAACTCGTTTTAACCACAATTATACCGTTTTGCAAAGGTTCGCAGATAACAAGCTCAGTTCAGGACCTCCGGAATGCTGAGCAGATAACAAGCTTAATTTAGGGCCTCCGGAATGCTGAGCAAAGATACCTGAGGTTAGAGCAAGGACAGCCTTATCTGGATGCAAGACAGGGGATTTATGGACTGGCCATAGAAACAAAGAAAGAGAGGATTGTGAGGCCTGAGTCACGTATAAAGCGGGACTCGTCACGAGTCAGGGGCTGTGCAATCAGACATCTGGTCACCAGCCAGGAAAAGGGGGGCAGGATAGAAGGAACAGTAAACCGCTGAATAGTCCCCTCATTGTTATTTAGGTTAAGAATTTACCACCCTGCATCTTGCTTCTGTAAACCTCGCTTTTTGCTCTCCTATAAGAACCCCTCACCCCCAACCTGCGGGCGCGCAAGTCCTCCGAGAGACTTTGTCGCCCCAGGTACCTGCGTATCCAATAAACCTCTTGCTGTTTGCATCCAGCTGCGTGTTTTCGACTGATCTTTGGGCACGGGGTCTCTCCCGAAGGAAGACACCCACGGGAGTCTTTCAATGTTTTGTAGGGTAGTTGGAAGTAGGCTATTTTTTTTACAACTGAGTCATCTATTGAAAATTTCAAGTTTTCTATTTAAATAAATAAATAATAATAATCATTCACCTCTTTTTTTGGAGACATGGTCTCACTATGTAGCCTTATCTGGTGGCATAAGAATTACATAAGAATTACATAGAAATTAGCGTGGAGACCTCAAACTCTCCTTGGCCTCATTGAGATCTGGCTACCTCTATTTCCTGAGCGCTGAAATTAAAGGTATATGATACCATGCCCAGCTTAAAAATTAACTCTTATGAGCATCTGCATTTAATAAATTTCATTTGTCTTTCAAGTTATTTTTAATTTTTAAACATTGAACCCAGTAGCCAGTTCTAAGAGGATTCTTATGCTTCGTGTTATGCCCAAATCCGTGAAGTTCCCACAAAAGCCAACAAAGAGACAGAGTCCCGTATGTAAAAGCAAAGAGCCTTTGTTTTATGCAAGTTTGCAAAACTTTCTGCATGTCCAACGTATTGGAATAAATGGAGAGCCCTAAGCTCAGTTAGAATTGGGTTTTTATAGTAGTAAAGGTGGGGGTGAGGGGTTTCTGAGGTTTAGGACCCCTGATTGGCTGACATTTGTCTAGGGGTGTCCTGGTGAGTGTATTCTGGCAGGTGGTCCTATCTACAGCAGTTGGAACATTAGGCCTTTGGATGGTCTGTTTTTGGGTGGTGCTTGCGTAATCTGAGTTTGTGGTTCTTCCTGCAGCCAGGTATTGCTTCAGGGTAAACTTGAGACTGAGGCCTCTATTTAAATTTATTGATGGCTGAGTCCTACTCTGGCAGTTGATAATGGTTGGAAGTAAAGAACTTCCTTCGGGTGACCTGCCCATACTTAGCTTATCATGGCTGGCTCCCATACTTCACAGCTTTGCTGATCCCTACCCATATATGGTCAGAGGTAATCCTAGATGATGGACTAGAACAAGGTAGAGAAGATAGTGTGATGTCTGAGGGCAGATAATAAAGGGCACCTGCTTCTGCGTTCTCTTAGATCTTTTGCTCAGTAAAAAGCTAACCACCCTGTGAGGCTACTCAGGGATCCCTGAGAAGAAGTCAGGGGGAAGGGAAACTGAGGCTTCTTGTTGTGTGACTTTTTCTGAGGAGATTTGAACAAATGTCTGCTCACCTTGGTTATTGCACCAACAACAGACTAAAAACACATATTTCACCCAAGTCTAGTTTAAAGAAATAATAAGTTCACTATGGCTAATTACAGCAGTGTGGGTAAGCAGTTGCTTACTGGAATGTGGGTGACTCAAAGGCAGCTGCCCCACTGAAAAGTCCACTGCAGAATGAGTGACTCACAACAGCTGCTTCCCTGGCACTCCCTACACAACTTGTGGGCAGGTTGGCAGACCAGAAAGTCTTCAGCAATGACTTAGTGCCTTTATAACTTTGGAGAAGGACCTTGTGAGTCATGTAGGCTTTAGGACCTCCCTGGACCTTGTATGTTGTATGAGTTTCCCTCCTCCCTTTGGTAGGGAATGTTTCAGAGGAAATTCCTACACAATGCTATCCTTTCCTCTGGCTCTTATATTCTTTACATCTCCTGCAACGTTCTCAGAGTTATTGCTACAGATGTCTGGTTATTCCATTCTTGGCTGAGTACTGGGCCACTGTGGCAGAGCAATATTCTCTCTTAGGATCCTGAGCAGTTATGACTCTTTGTAGTGTATTTTTCATTGCAAGAAAGAAGTTTCCCTGTCATGACCAACTGAGGATAACAAGAACAATAATCTATAAACACACACACACACAAATGTTCAAAAAGCAATTTAACAGGCATACCACATCCATCTAACAAGAGAATAGTGCCACTTCCCCACAGGGACTTATTGTTACAGTGGTATTGGAGGCCCATTAAGGGAAAGCCATTTCCCTCTCAAAAGAATAAATCTACTTCAAAGACATGCCATGTCTCCTCCATAAAGAGTTAATACAGTTGGGTAGGTTAATCACCTGGCCAAGAGCCCATCTGTAATGATCTGTCTCTTTAAGAGACAAGCCACACTCACTTCCTCCCTATTCACTGAGGCAAGCTGAACTTCAGCTTCCAGTCTTAGTCTCTTTTTTCTGTCTCTCTCTCTCAGAGAGGCAGCTTCGGTCTCCCCTCCCCTCCCCTCCCCTCCCCTCCCCTCCCTCTCTCTCTCTCTCTCTGCCTCTCTGTTCTTCTCCCCTTCTCCCTTCCCTTCCATAACTACTAAATAAATATCCAACCTCACTCTGCATGGTATACCTATCAGTCTGTCTCTCACTTCTCACCCCATGCCACATGGCTTGCCATTGGGGATCAGCCACCTTCAGAGACCTGCCGTGTGGTCTCGTGTGCCATCCCTGCATGGGATTGGCTGTTCTCGGGACCCCCTGCCCCCTACCTGCCGCCACCAGGGATCCTGCAGCAAGCTACTTGAGGATCTGCAGCAATCTTTAATAATCCATTACATCACCCCCAGAAAGACTGATTAAGTCATGCTCAGAGAGGTTCTTTCTTTCCCAGAAACCACGCCCACAGAGGAGCTGTTAGGACCCGCCGCCTTGCAGTTAAGCCTGTCTGCTCCCATGAACTACTCAGAAAAGCTTAACTTGCCTTTCTCCTTCTCTGTCTCTTTCATACGTTGGATAGAACCCAAGGACACTTTCTCTGGCTTTTTGTACTTTCTCGGAATCTTCTCTACTCCCTATGTGGTTGACCGCCATCCTGGCTTAATTCCAATAACATGGCCTTTTCTCTTCCTTTTCGTCATCTCTTTTACTTGGACAACCGTGGATTTGTAGCTTTCCTGTGGGCTTTTTAAAAATTCTAATAAAATTGTTCTCAAACTTCTTTCTGAGTCAGTTCTTAACTGAGACTAAGATTCCTAAGCGGGGACCCTACTTTCCCTGGCAGCGTATTGTGGAGGCCGAAAAATGCAGGTGCATTTCCATTGTGTCTGACAGTCCGAGAGTTTGGAGCTTGACAAGTGTAGATGTCCCAACTCAGAATGTGATTGCTTGTTTTTTGGGTTTTTTTTTTTTTTTGAAATTAAGATAGTTCCATGC